ACCTTTCTTATGGAGAGGAATTATAAAGGATTCCTTCCAGATGGGGGGAAAACTAGAAGAATGGATGGATAGAGTGAATAGTTTAAGCAAAGGTCCGCACAGAGACTCGGCCAGTACCTGAGTACACAGCCGGGAACTCCGTCAGGGCCCGGTGAAAATACCGGCTTAACTAATTGAAGTTCATGAAGTAAGGAGCCTTCATTAAACAAAGGGCAGAAATGCCATTCGACCTTGGTAAACTATATGGATACATATGACCTGGGTAGCTTTCCTGGGAATAGGTGGTTTGAAAAAATTGTGAAAAAAGATCGGCGATTGCCTGATCATTGTTTGCCGACATATTCAAGAATGATAGCGAGGATGGATGTGCGGACGTTCTACGCTTACTGTCTACAAAGCTGTAAAACTGTTTGCGGTCCTGTGAAAAACGTATCCTGCATCGAAGGAGGTAGTTCCTATAGCATTGAGCATTAAGAATAGTGAAATTTGACCGAGCTATTAGGTAATTAAAAAGAGAAGAGGGAGAACCAACTTCTTGAGATTTTTTAAATAGTCTTGATTTTAGATTTTTTAGACTGGATAACTTTTTGGTGAACCAAGCAGGTTTCGCAGATCTAGTCGGACATGAAAGTGGACACACGTGTCAAAAATTGTGTCAAGTACATTGTAAACGAGAGGGGACGTGTTAGACGCTTCTTACGCGTCACAACGTTTATACCCGGCACTCCGTACTACATCTGCACCTTAGCGGTGTTTTGTCAAATTTTACATATTTTCTTCATCTGTCATCTACATCTACATCTCACACCAACACGCTCCGTTAGCTCGCCGCCCTTCCCTAGACGGACACACTGCAGACTCGAGGCAGAGGCAAAGGCACCGTCCGCACACAAAAAAAAAACAAATAAAAGCTGTGGGACGGGGTGGATGAGGCATTGGTAGGGGGAGGGCAGAGGCAGGGGCCGAGTGAAGCAGAAGCAGAGTGTGAATGTGAGAATGTAAAAAGAACAACAAAAGCTGCGGGACAGGGTAAGTTTAGCCACTGCAAATTAATTTCTCCATTGTGGCTATAATAATGATCCGATCTGATCCCAATTTAGTGATCTGATGGATATGGCAATTTCCTACGGAATGGCGTTTTTAGTTTTCTTTTATCTTCAAAATTGTAGATTGGGAGGTTTTCGCCCTTTTGCGGGGGCGGAAGGGGGCGTGGCTCATTTTTTAAATACACTTGTAACAGTGTGAGCATACAGCAGTCTGGATGCAAAATTTGGTGGCTCTAGATTTTATGGTCTTTGAGATCCAGGCGCTCAACAAGACGGACGGACAGACGGACGTACAGACAGACATGGCTCTATCGACTCGTCTATTGATGCTGATCAAGAATATATATACTTTATGGGGTCGGAAACGTTTCCTTCTGTGCGATAAATACAACCGTTATTCCCCACAAATACAATATACCCTATTTACTCTTCGAGTACCGGGTATAAAAATACAGAATTCGACAAAAACCACAAGGTGACATACACACAAGTATGAATACCATCAACATTTCACAACGTTTCTAATGGTTTAAATTATAATGACGCCCAGTTTTTGAGTCTTTATAACAATAAATAATAATTATTAAAATATTAGTTGTCTGTTTTCAGCAAAACGGGAAAGTAAAACGCTTCCAGGAAACTGTATATTTTATGAATTGGACAGTAGCTTCTGCACCGGACCCCCCAGCTGCCTGAAAACCTTATCATCCAATTAGTAACCACGAAAATAGGAATCCAGAGGACAAAGTTTGAGAAACAAACAATACTCCAAAATGAGAGTACACCTTCCTTTCGAGGAATGCTACTAGGGAAGCTGTCTGGTAGTAAGACATCAGCAGTTGCATTCGCAGCTGCAAAACGAAGACAATAAACCATAAAACTGGCCGAAAATGACAACCAGATAAAACGAATAGGATATGACCGCCCCTGGAGAGAAATGACCTTTGGGAATGGGCCTCTAATTTGTATAACTTGCCTACCCAACGGGCAGTCCATAATTAAGATGGAAGCAAAAGAGCATTCCATAAATTTTCCATGAATTTTAAGATTTTGCAGTCGATGTTTTTCTATGCTCGACATTGTGTCAAAATTTCTAAAGAGAGTTGGTTGCTCTCAGTTTCTTCATCTGGAAAACGCATGGAATGGATTCGAAATGTGCCCTGATCATTACACATTGTTCTCCTGCTTTGACAATGTCTTGTGTTTCCGGAGATTGTTTTCTTTTAACATACTCATGCAGGGTAAAAATCTAAAAAATCCATCATATATTATGATGATAGTACTTGAAGAGTAAATACATACTATCTCGTCTCACACTCTGCGTCGAACATCTGCAGCTCAGGTGGGCGAGCTAAAAGGGCGTGTTGGAGTGAGAAGTGATTTACATAGATGAGAGGTACAAAAAATGTGAAGTTCGAAAAAACATGAGGTAATTGCAATTCCTTGGTATTGGTACGAAACACTGTAAGGCACGAGTACGTGAGCGGCTAAAAATATCTATCAGATCAATGAATTGGACTTAGATTGCGTGCAGCAGATGATTTTCTATTTGGCTCGTTCTCTCATTCCACACTCTGCTTTGGCAGTGTGCGGCTGTAGGGGAAGGGGGCGAGCTAAAAGAGCGTACTGGCGTGAGAACTGATGAAGATGTAGATGACATTTCTAGAATATGTAAAATGTACAATTTTTAAAAACCACTAAGGTACAAAGTGCTACTGAGTACTGGGTAGAAAAGTTGTGACTCGTATTTACCACCCCCCCCCCCCCCCCCCGTTAACAGAGTCCTTATGCGGGATCCATTCGAATCCAGTTAGTGTATGCTTATTGATGTTTTGTTGTTGTGGAGCTGCTGTGGTATTATTTCACTAGCGTTTCCTCTTTTAGCTTTCTTTACTTTTACCCTTTGCCCAACCTTACACACCAAGACCGCAGACCTCCTCATTACTTCAATAGACTGAACAAACCGCACTATGTTCGGGTAGTTGTATTTCTTGTTTTTATATTTCGGTTTCTTTATCTCCACATTTGCTTTTCGCCTGACTCCTGAAAATCCCTTCACGATGCAATTAATTACGCGAAAATAGAATTTTAGCAGCACCATCCGCAGTAGCCACACAGCGCTAAATTTTCCTCTGGCTTTCACGAAATATATCCAGTTCTTTAGCTCTACGCCCCTCATGACTAGGTCGCCGAATTAAAGTGCTAAGCTCCCCGCAACGCAATCAATTGATTTCTTAAATGTTGCACAGCATCCCAACCCAAAACTTCTCCTGGTACTGCTCCCATTAAATATTTTAGACCTAGCTTTCCTTTTTTGTCCCTTGGGTTCATTTTGTCTCTCTTTGTCCTCTTTCCTGTGTCATTTTAAGAAACTGCGTTGTTGTGGTCTTCATTGAAATGTTTGTGGTTACTTTTCTGATTGTTGCTTTTATTTCGAAATAAAAACAAACTAGAGAAAGGACGTGCGAGACGCTTCTTACTCGTCACAACTTTTATACCCGGCACTCAGTAAAACATCTGTATCTTATTTGGTACATTTTTAAATTTTTTTCTCATCTGTCCTCTACATCTTCAACAATTTTCACGCCAACACGCTCCCCTTCCCTAGACCCACACACTGCAGACTCGCTGCAGAGGCAGAGGTAGCGCCCGCACAAAAAAAAACAAATATAAGCTGCGGGACGGGGTGGGTTAAAAGTCGGCAGAGGCAGACGGACGGCAGACGCAGAGGCCGAGTGAAGCAGAAGCAGAGTGTGAATGAGAGAATGTGAACAAAACAACAAAAGCTGCCCAATTTGGTGATCTGATAGATATTGCCATTCCCTACGAAATGGCGTTTTTATGCCGTTTTCTTTTATCTTCAAAATTGTAGATTTGGGAGGTTTCGCCCTTTTTCGGGTGCGGAAAGGGGCGTGGCTCATTTTTTAAATACACTTGTAACAGTGTGAGTATACAGAAGTCGGGATGCACAATTTGGAGGCTCAACAAGACGGACGGACAGACAGACATAGCTTTATCGACTCGGCTATTGATGCTGATCACGAATATATATATTTTATGGGGTCGGAAACGCTTCCTTCTGTGCGTTACATACCACTGTTATTCGCACAAATAAAATATACCCTATTTACTCTTCGAGTACCGGGTATAAAAAAGACCCAACACAAAAAGTTCCGCATAAAACTGTCAATTATGATGTTGTGTGAATTCTACTTTTTACGAGTTTGATTTTCTTCTACATCGGTCGTATCGGGGTTCTCTGAAAAATTCATGGGCTTCGTTTCAGGTTGTGTTTAAATACGGTCTGCTTATGATTTTCAAACTGAAATTTTTGTTTGGCGGCTCTTTCAATTTTTTTTATAATTTATAGTCCATGAAATGTCAATGGGTTGATGAATATGCAGAAGATCGAGACGTGATTCGGAAACTCCCAAGCACCTTTAGATACTCCAAATTATTAAAAGCAAAGGTTAAAACCATCAATCTCAATCTCAAGATTTTCGTTTCATTTGAGAATGCCAAGACAGGAAAACATCTAACATTCCTAGTGGATACAGGAGCGAACATATCGCTAATAAAAGAAACTTCAGATGTCTTCAGCGACATACAAATAGATAATAAAATAGATATTCAAGGTATAGGTGAAGGTATTATAAAATCCCTAGGCCTTGCCCCAATAGAGCTACAGACAGATAAATACATAATTCCACACAATTTCCATTTAGTAAACAAAAATTATGATGGAATAATCGGGATTGATTTCATAAAAGAATTTAATTGTCAAATTGATCTGAAACCTGCAGAAGACTGGTTTATAATACGACCAAACAATATAGACATTCGCATTTATGAACCAATAACATACAGTTCTGGTAACAATACAATACTTCTACCAGCCAGATCACAAGTTGTCCGAAAAATATAACTAACACTAAGTGAAGAAAGTGAGCTAATCCCAAACCAGGAAATTCAAACTGGTATTTATGTTGCAAATACCGTTGCAACCACTCGAAACGCATTTGTCCGATTACTAAATACAAACAATAACGACCAGTTATTAATATAAATAATTTAAAATATGAACCACTTTCGAATTACAATGTAGTTCAAACAACTGCTAAAATCAGGGAACAAACTGCCATGGCTCAGCTTACAAACAATTTTCCAGAGCCATTCAAACAAAAATGATGTCAAATATAATGACATATTCGGACTTTTTTTTCAAAAAAAAAAGAGAGAGAAATATAAATGTTAGACAAAAATTTGTTATTCATTTAACATATTAATTATAAGTTAATTGTCTTTATCGTCAAAAGGTTACTCGGGACGATAATATATATTGTAGAAAAATCAAACAACCTAAATAGATAATCCCTATAGCTCTTACACCATAGTCATAGTCACCATAGAAAAGTCAGAAGATACTGTTAGGCTATTGTCTAATAGACTTAAGGCTAAATTATTTTCGTGGTTGTGGAGTCTGTCGATGTATTTCTTACTAGTTTTCTTTATTTCTTCTTTAATTTTTGGAATATTCAGATCTTTGTGGATGTTTGCATTAGATACGTAAAACGGAGCATTGACAATGTGTCTCAAAGTTTTTGATTGGTAACGCTGAAGTATCTCAATATTTGAGTTGCTAGCAGTTCCCCAAAGCTGTATAGCGTAGGTCCAAACAGGCTTCAGTATGGATTTGTAGAGGCGAATTTTGTTTTGGTTTCACCAAAGACTAAAAGCTGAATAGTCGGTCCTGTAAAAATCACAAAATTCAGATTCAACAACTGTAAAACGATTAATGTGGTTTTTCCATGTTAATCTGCGGTCGAGATGCAAGCCGAGATACTTCACACAGGTACTTTGTGCAATTGGTGAGCCGTTAAGTGTAACATTTGGGCAGTTACCTGGTCTTAATGACCAGGACTTGGTTTATTCGGACTTGAAACCGAATCGATAACAACTAATAATTTTTATAAACATAAATTGAGATTGAAGGATAATGAACCTATTTATATAAAAAACTATCGAAGCCCGCATAGTCAAGTTGAGGAAATCAAGAACCAAGTAGGAAAATGAATAGACTACAAAATAGTCAAACCACCCGTGTCAGAGTACAACAGCCCGCTTTGGCGAATAGTAGTTGACTATCGTCAAATAAACAAAAAAATCCTTTCAGATAAATTTCCATTACCTAGGATTGGTGATATTTTGGATCAACTAGGTAGAGCAAAATACTTCTCATGCCTTGATTTAATGTCAGGTTTTCATCAAATATAACTAGAAGAAAGTGCACGTAATATAACGTCTTTTTTAACAAGCAATGGCTCATATCGCTTCCCGCGACTACCATTTGGTTTAAAAATAGCGCCAAATTAATTTCAAAGAATGATGACTATTGCATTCTCTGGACTTGAAGCTTCGCAAGCATTCCTAAATATGGACGATCTTATAATCATTGGTTGTTCCGAAAAAAATATGCTCAAAAACTTACAAGATATTTTTGAAGTATGTAGGAAACACAACCTGAAATTACACCCACAAAAATGTTAATTTTTTTTGGATAAGTGACCTTTCTCGGTCATAAATGCACGGAAAAAGGAATCTTGCCAGATGACAAGAAATATGACGTCATTAAAAACTATACAGTCCCCCATGACGCAGACAGCGCTAGATTCGAAGCCTTTTGCAATTATTACAGGCGTTTTATTAAAAACTTTGCCGACTATTCCCGGCATATAACTAGATTATGTAAAAAGAATGTTCCATTTGAGTGTTCAGATGAATGTCAAAATGCATTCCAATACTTGAAAGATAAACTAATCGAGCCCACTCTGTTACAATACACAGATTTTGAAAAAGACTTTTGCATAATTACAGATGCTAGTAAACAAGCATGTGGTGCGGTTTTAACTCAAAACCATAATGAACTCCAACTTCCAATAGCATATGCATCACGTTCATTCACAAAGGGTGAAAACAACAAAAGCACAACAGAACAGGAATTGGAAGCAATTCATTGGGCAATTTCTCATTTTCGACCATATATTTATGGAAAACACTTCACAGTGAAAACAGATCACAGACCACTAACATACCTATTTTCAATGGTCAATCCTAGCTCAAACCTCACACGCATGCCGCTTGAATTAGAAGATATACTGAAATGTCAGCTCATAGATTTCCCATTTCAGTTAAAGCTCCGTCTACGTGACAGTGCTTATTGTTATTCCCTTAATTTTTTGTATTGTCGTTTATATAATTTTCAGTGATGTTCTGTCTGTTCATCTGTTTTTAGGACGTGTCCTTTATTTTTTTATCTTAACGGATCCGTTAGAGATGTTTGTCGAAGTTTCTCCAACGTATATGAAGTCATCACCAATGACGAAGTACGCAAAGTAGTGACCTTGCATGTAAAAAATAATTTATGTTTTTTCAAACATGGTAAAAAAATTACAGCAAGATATCAAGTTAGCGATTTGTATACTAATGGAACCCTTGACTTAGGTCAGTTCTTCCAAAGGCTTGAATTGCAAGCCGGTTAACGAAGAATCAGCCAACTCAAAGTGGCACAGTGGGAAAATATCTTTGAAATCGTTTCAATAGATCAACCCGGTAACCCTAATAACAAATATTAAAGAAAAAGAAGCAATCTTGTCTACGTTACATGATGATCCAATTCAAAGAGGACATACAGGCATAACAAAAACCTTGGACAAGGACTAAAGATATTATTTTTAGGAAAGGACCAAAGAGATTTACATACGTAAATGTCAACAAAATAAACATACCAAAACTCCTTTAACAATTACGGAAACCCGATACGATACGATCGAAATACGATCGGTCCACTTCCTAAATCAGAACAGGGAAATTAATATGCAGTCACTTTAATATGTGACTTGACGAAATATCTAGTTGCCACCCCAAATAAAAATAAAAGCGCAAACACAGTAGCAAAAGCTATCTTTGAAGAATTTATTCTGAAGTACGGTCCAATGAAGACATTCATTACGGACATGGGAACAGAATATAAAAATTAACGACTTATGTAAATATCTAAAAATAGAAAACATAACGTCAACAGCGCACCACCACCAGACAGTATGAACAGTAGAAAGAAGTCATAGAACATTTAATGAGTACATACGTTCATATATATCAGTCGATAAAACTGATTGGGACGTATGGCTTAAGTACTTTGTTTTCTGTTTCAACACAACACCATCTATGGCACATAATTATTGTATGTATGAATTAGTATTTGGTAAAACGTTTTGATGTTACCAATTCATTTTTATAGTATAGCACCCGTATATAATATAGAAGATTACTCTAAAGAGAGTAAATATAGATTAGAAACAGCACATAAAAGAGCAAGGATTATGCTCGAGGAGCATAAAATAATCAGCTATTTGATTTAAAAATAAACAATTTAGTAATAGCAGTAGGAGATAAGGTTATATTAAAAAACGAATCAGGACATAAGCTAGATTCTAAATATACAGGCCCCTATACAGTAGAAAACATCATCATAATCTCTGATGATAGGAAAAAGAAACAGAAAGTGCATAAAGATAGGATAAAGATTTTTAACCCTTAATCATTTGTAGCATGGTCATGCATAGAAAAAAATACTTCGAAATTGTATAACATTTGAAATTTCATTACCCATTCATGAGCGTATCAATTTTAAACTAAGCAATATTATTTCCAAATTCAATAATCAGTTTTCGATACATTTTCAATTATTTTGAAAATAATTCCCAACGTCGAACGGAGCTGCTCGTAGGAGCAACATCTAGGAGAGAAAGTGAAAATAAAATTTCGGAAATAAAAGTAAATTTTTGAGCCGAAGTTGCCCTAGCAAAAACTTTCAGTTCGTAAATATAAAGCAAAAGTACTATTCGATTCACAAAACAAAAGCAAACAAAATAGTGGTTACTGATAAGCAATAACAAAGTGTTGTTGTTATCTACACGACGACGAAGACGACACAACGGTTTGGAACTGGCAGAGAGTAAAATTGAAGTCAAAGGCAGTCAAGAGACAAAACCAAGTCTCTCCTATTCTACTAAAGAAAAAAATCCGAGACCTGAATCGTGGGTCTTGGTCGAGGTTAGTTATACGGGAGGATTCGCTGTCGTGCGGTTTATTGCCTTTACTTCTACTTTTGCTAGCACTGGACATGATAACTGAAGATAACTTAACTGAATCTGCCAAGCCGCCACCTATATTCTTATCTGAAGTCAGTGATATAAAAGGAATGCTAGTTTACCTCGAGACTAAAATTAAAAAAAGAGCTTTTCTTTTATAAAGTACAACGCGATGGTCATGTGAGAGTTATGGTAAAGTCTATTGAAGAATACAGGAAACTTGTTAAAACTCTTACTAAAGATTCTGTCAAATTTCACACATACCAAATTAAACATGAGAGGGCATTCAGAGTTGTTATTAAGAATTTGCACTTCTCAACGGATATCGACTTAATCAAACAAGATGTGGAGTCCAAAGGTCACGCTGTTAGAAACATTAGTAATATTAAAAGTCGTGTAACCAAGCCATTGAATTTTTTCTACTTAGACATTGAGCCCAACAATAAGAACTTAGATATATACAAAGTTAAACTCATTGGTAACGCAGTTGTTAATATAGAACCACCCCGTAAAACTAAAGAAATCGTTCAGTGTTATCGTTGCCAGGAATTTGGACACACAAAGTCATATTGTGCCAAAACTCACAGATGTGTGAAATGCTCTCTTAACCATCCCAGCAACGTTTGCCCAAAAGATAAAGAGCAACCAGAAAAATGTGCCAACTGCAACGAAGATCATGCTGCTAGTTACAAAGGGTGTAAAGTCTATCAGGATCTTATATAAAAAATAGTAAGCGGACGCAACCACCAGAGAAACACCAAAGATGACAATAATAAAAATGACCATGGTACATATCAATTATTTGCTCCGTCTAATAATTCGACCCAACAACCCAAAGATTACCAATCATACGCTCAAGTTGCTGCAGGAAATTCATTGAGCTTGTTCAGAGATCTTTCTTAT